AAGGTGAGATTTACTGAGAATACTTATAGAAGTTGCTTGGCTTCAAACTTAAAACAAATATATCATTCAAGATCAAACCAATACAAGACGCTTTCCGAACATTAATGCATAAACTGATGAAACCAAACTTTAGCCCAGGGTGGGTTATTCCATAAATTTGGTAAAATCTCTATTGCTAACTTGTAGATGCTCTTATTTATTTGGCTTGGATATGTGAAATCTAATAAAATTAATGTTTTCTATCAATAAAACCATAGTTACATGAAAATAATTCGGAACATAGTGATAAGTTAAATATGTAGGTTAAGGGACAACTTCTTAATTTTTCTTAATAATTTATCCATATCTTTTTCTTCATAACTTTTGCATAAATTAACTAGAAAACATGTATACTAAATGTTATTTAAAATCATGAGTTTTGATCTTTCGAGCGAATTTTTTTTTTTTTAAATATAATATATATATCTTATGGAACTACTGTAATATATGAAATTATTATAGTAATAAATCCGAATACTATCATTATCCAATTTTTTAACCGACTAATTATGTGTGAGTTACTTAGGTTTTTTAGACTATCTAACTTACGTATACAAAAATATTAAATAACATAGAAAGAATTATAATAATTCTTTTTTTTTAAAAAAAAAATCTTTTCTAAATTTCAAGACTCTTTTTTTCTTAAAAAATGGAATTTTAAAAGCCTTGGGAATTTTCATCAAAGATCAGATCTTCAGATTCCTCTTGTTTTCCGTGTCAAACATTATTTTAATCAATCAATACGATGGTTTTCTTTTTGGTTTATATAGAACTCATATAAAAATTCCTCGTTATCATCGAATTAGTCGACAAAATGATTATAATCTTTTTATACTGTACATTATTTAAATTTTTAAATCATTCAAGCTATAACTTCACTTACAAAAACTCTTTCGAAATTATAACAGTAGTTTATATTGATATCTTTTCTTTCGAAAAATCAGACCGGATATTAAATCTCTTTAATATTAACTGCATATTTCTTTAAAAAAAATTATTACTGCCATTTAAAAAAATTTTTCTTTAGCTATCAAAATATAACAATCGAATTTATCTGATTTGAACTGATTTTGGATTTTTACTATTTTTTCAATGTGTTATCGTTCTTCTTCTAATTTATTAATCTTATGTAAAAAATATTGAAAATTAAATAATCTGTTCTCATCATTAAATTTAAAGGCCTCAACTACTTGTTTTAGATTTAATGTACTACGAATTAAATAAATAAATAAATAAATAGATATTTATACTAACAACAAAGCTACCATTAACATGTTAATATATAATAATAATAATAAGTATTATGATTATTATTATCTATTTAATTATTTCAAAATTTATTTTTTAAAAATAACTATAAAATAAAATTTAACTAAAGTTATGTAAATATACTATATATACTGTATATTAAATTACTTGATTTATTATATTTTAATAAGATCATTTTTAAGGTAAGTAATTCATAAATAAAGATTTTATTTTTATACTTTAATTACAACATTGTTTATCATCCAGTAGAAATTTGTAATTGATAATGAAAAATATTTAAAAAGTCTTATTTACATGAGATAATGGAGAATTATTAAATTTTATTATTATATTACCATTTATTTTGTACATAAAATTTAAATGGGTATAATAAAAAATGATAAAATGATAAGTACAACCATTATCATTTATTATTATTATTATAAACCAATACAAACTACAACAACAACAACAAAAAATCCCCGTGGATATATATATATTATATTAAATTTATTTTTGCTAATGTATTATTTGATAATAAATTTGAGTTATCTGTTTTATGCCAATATTATTATTACAATTTTTGTAAATGCTATTCCGAATTTATATATTAAAAAAATAAGCGTGAAGTTATTATATAATTTGCTGTCAGTGATCTATCACTAGAGCCATTTGACTAATTTTTTTTACAATTATTAAAGTATTAGGAAAGTAAACCGCAACCCATATTTTAATTTTAAACAAGGCAAAATCAATCTGTATGCTCAACATTCAAATCAATTTCGTTTGGTGAGCCCACGATATTTCACTTTCTGGAACTAGACCGGATAGATGATTCAGGAAATCATGTGTAAGTATTGACGCGGAAATCGAGAAAAGTAATGTGGTCGAGTATAATAGTAAGATAAATACGATAGATTCTTTCGATGGAAGAGGATAGAAATTAACCATTTTGGCTTTCTATATTTGGTGTATTTCGGGAAGTTATGGTAGGAGATAAGCTTTAAGGAGCGTCGATTTTCAATTATTTTGTGGAAGGAAATTACGTCCCCTTTTTAAACAAGAAAAAGCGTAGTACACGTGAGCTAAAAAAAAAAAAAGCATACATCATACATTCAATACTACGGTAGTTTTGTATCACGACCAATAAATTTTGTGAATCCGATTTGATTCGACGTGCAAATCAAAGTTAATACTGTAAATATGCAAAGTAAATTCACATTATTGTAAGAGCACTAATTAGAGAATGCGATTTTCCTATGCGCGTTCATGAGGAAAACACGTGGTTGATTATCAAATAATTATTTTGCATAAAATGATAAATAGAATCTCGTGATTTCATAGGCTTGAACCATTATTAAAAGGAATGCGTAGTATAATCGAATGCAAACAATTTGCAAGCTGATTCCTATGGATTGATTTTACCGTTAATTGTTTTTTTTTCGAAAACAAAATTTCTGCATATCTCACATCATTTGATATATAAATATAAATAAACATATATTTATTTACGAAATGAAAAAAATAAAAAATGATACTTTATATACGGTATACTATCACTAATTATTTTATTATTAATCTTAAATGCCACCATCAAATTTATCTATATTGTTAAATAGATGAGCATTATATTTAAACTAAATACGATCGGTCGTTAATACGAATAATTTAAATTGTTGTTTCATATTAGATTATTATTTTTTTATCACATTGTTCGTTTTGATTTATTATCAAAAAATATTAAAATATATTAATCTAACGATTTTTATTTTTTCCGTAAAATCAAAATTGATATTAAAATTGTTGTGTCGTCAATAACTGTTAATAATAATTTAAAATTATAATAACCTTTTTTTATTTTTTATTATTATTGAAACTTTATTAGGATATTAATTTATTATGCTAAATAAATATATATACATTTGGATTTTATATAAAAAAAAAAAAAACTTGATCAATTAAAAAAATTATATTATATAATATTTTATTTAATATATACTGTATATATTGATACATTTCAATTTTTTTATTTTGGTTTATATAAGAAAAAGAGATATTTTTGAATTAAATATTGGTTTGTTAACTTGATTGGTTAAACTATATTAAAAAAAAAATTAAAATTAATATATTTATTTAATAGTAATATAATAAATTATATGATTTGATAAAGATATAAAAAAATTTTTGAAAATAATAATTATATAAATAATTTTTTACTTTATATCTTTAAATTATAGTTATATAATTAGAAAAAATCCAATATCGATATATTGTATGTTTTTTAATAATATGCTTATAAATTAATTTTTAAATAATATGCTTATAAGTTAATTTTTAAATAATTAAAAATTAAAAATTAAAAAATTTATTAAATCAAATAAATTAATTTTTGATATTTTCTAAAGATGTTTTAAAATTATAGTTGACTTAAGCAATTAAATCTAGCGACAAATTATTATACAAAATACAGTTTATATATATTTGTTATTTATTTATTTATTTATTTATTTATTTTTATTTTTTTAATTTAAAATTAAATTGAAATTGTATATACAGTACTATAAATTTTTAATATTTATTAAAAATTTATAAAAGTTTTATATATTGGTATTTGTAATAAAAAAATAATAAGTTTCAAAAAAAAAATCAATTTGACAAGTTTTTTTATATCTTATTTTTAATATATAGTAATTATATATATATATATATATATATATATTATTTTTAATTATAGTTATTTTTTTAAAAAATTATATATAATATATTTGTATAAGATAATTGATTTTTAAAAATAAATTATAAATAAATAAAAAAATTTTTTATTTAATTTATATTTTAATTTATATAATTTCTTGTATTTAATTAATATTAATACACAAAAAAATAAATTAACTTTTACAAAAATGGATTTAATTTATGATTTTAAATAATTTAATTTGTTTTAATTCATTTTATTTTAATATACTTAATATTAAGAGATAAATTTTTATTATAAAAATAAAATATTACTTTTAAAAAAATATATAAAATATAAACAATAATTTTGTAATAATCACAATGTGTGTAATATGTAACTTTTCTTGAATTTAACCTTTTCTTAATATTAAAGCACGAATTATTATAGGATTTACGATATATAAAATACATTTGAAAATATCAATTACTGAATTTTCTTAAGCATTCCTTGTTCTTCGTGATCTGATAGTTGGATATCATCAAAGTTGTTAATCATGCTTGCTACAAAAATGCTCGTAATAGTTTAAATAGTGTAAATAAATGTTGCGATTGTTATGTGTGCCATTTTCCGCGACTAAAAGATTTCAGAATATATTGTAATCATTGATAAATTTTTTCATTTATGCGAAAATTACACACAATTCAGTTCACCTCTTTTATTCTCTCCATGAAAAATTTTGCAATAGTCATCAAAGAAATTATTATCATCCTCATCCTCTTCAAATAAATGTTCATTGTCATCGTAAGAACTTTCTTTATAATCTATAGAATCTTCGTCGTCACCAAAAAGACTTTCTTCATCGAAATCATCGTTTTCGTCAAAGAAATTGTTTCCGCTTTCTTCATAAGAATCACAATTTTCGAATTTTTGTTCTCTTTCTTTTTTTTTTGCAAGGATCGCGATAAAGACGACAAGAAACACAAGAATTTTTAATGACATTTTAAATTTGTTGTGGTCGAATATTGATAATAGGTATTAATGCTGAACAATCCGACTTAAATGTCAAACAAAGTTTATATATAATCATAACATCAATTAATCAAACTTTGTGAGTGCGTAATTGTTGCATGATCTCTTAAAATTGTCATGTACACATGAAAATTCTTGGTGCTATCGATCAAACCACGTTATTATTATTGTTCATCGGACATTTTAACTTAAAATCAAGTGTTGTTTGAATGCAATTGGCTGTGATAAAACTTCGTAGTAGCTGATAGAAACCTTCAATATAATTCACGGCTAGTCTAAAAGACAATTTGGTTACAAGACAGAAGTTAAAGTTACTTGATAACAATGCTCACACGCAAAATGTAGTCAAATGTCTTTGTATTTGTCCATTATTTTATATTCCTCGAAAATTAATTCGTATAATTATTTACATTTTTTTTTTCCACCATTACCAAGGGCTTCTCAATTAACCCCTTCGATCTTGGCCAAGCCAAGAATGCTATCTCCCAGGGTCACCTGTAAGAACAAATTCTTAAGGCCATAAGGTCCCTTGAGACTAACACCTTCGACTTCATTTTTTAGCATGTTGACCCCACTCGGAATAATATTATTTTGTTTAAATGCATCTGTCAATTCTTGGAATATAATCCCGTTTCTATCAACAATCCAAAATCTATATTCCTCGGTGTTCTCTTCCTTTATCTCGCCTGTGAATTGACCGGTAATTTCAAGTTTGTCCGGAGTGATTTGAGTAAAGTTGAATCGACCCGTTAGGTGTTGTGGAAACGACTTTATAAATGAGGGATCTTGTGAGTTAGTGGTAAAAATCGCCACTGCCTTAGAATCATTTGCCTGACTTTCGACGTGGTCATTATCCATTGTTGATGATGTATATTTTTTTTTTTAAGATACGAAAGAGCCCCGTTCTCACCGCACTGTGGAAGAGAAAATATCTTTGAAAGATTTGCTAGCTAGTCCAATAATGGGCATATTGTTCTGATATATAACAAAGTTCGACTTCCTTATCGGGCTAAATTCTTACGCATTACATACGTATGATCACCCGGATGGCTTGTACGTAAGTATAAACTGCGCTTTAAACTCAGATCTTATATTACATGATAAACTTGTCATTAAATTTGTTATATAAATTTTGTTATATAAATTTTGTTATATAAATTTTGTAAATAATAAAAAAATTGTTATTTTATTTAAAAAATAATTTGTAATAAAATTGGTTTATTAAATAATACAGTATATATAATTATAATAATAATTATCATTTATTTTTATTATATTTTAATAATTTAATTATATTTATTAAAAACTTCATATCATAATAAATAAAATACAATTAATAAAAATTTTAATTAATTAAGAAAACATTTTTAAAAATTAAATTTACAGTAATTAAACCAAAACCAATTGAAAAATCAAAAAAAAAAAAAAAAAGGATCAAACACAGAAAAGAAAAAGTATATTAAAAAACCAGAAATAATTGTATGTCTTATTAAAATAAATAAATTAAAAAATATATACTGTAAATGATAATAATTTTGTTGGTTTTATAAATCATTATTTATGAATCTATGATATTGTGAAATTCGTATTAACACAATAATATTTTCTTCTTCTTTCCATTTAAATAACCCTCGTTGGGGTCTCTTTAAATATTCAAATAATGAAATTAGTATACATTCTTTATTGTTTAATCGAAACTTATCTCTTCAATTTGCTTTTCTTGTGATAAAACAGATATTAAAAATATTATCGTCATATTACGCAATCGTTCATTAGTTAGATAAAAAAAACCATCTGAAACCATGTAATTGAAATTTTTTTTTCACGAACCGGCTGCATTTCGTACCAATGTCAAAGTTTAATATCTTCTGCAATCTTTCCTCCAACTATCTTCAGAAATTCAACTTTGCAATTCCTGTTCCAACGCGCAAACTACGTTTTCACTCAAGTATTATTCTTGGTGCTCGCTTTATCCCGGTGTTACGCGTACCTTTTAATCCAATCATTAAGCGAACTTTTTACCCCAGCGTTACGCGCTTAAATGCTCAAGCTCCCAATTGTGTGAGTACCCCCAAAAGAGCAGTAGCTTATTTTGGACTGCCGGACACGGCCGCGGCCACTGGAGCGATTTTGTTCTGGGAAACCGGGACCGGAGTCACCATCATCCATGGCCAATTTAGTGGAGGGTTCCAGGATGAAATTGTGGATTACGTTCGTATTAGAATTTATCGTGAAAATAAAGTGTTATTTGATCTCAAGCCTCTGGACGGAAGTTTAAGAAATATTTTTAGGATTCGAGAGAATGGGTCAACGGATTCTTTTTTATTTGTTGTTCCAAAGAGATTGATTAGCGAAGAACCCTGGATCGTTGGATCTTATGTAGTTATTGATAGTTTACGTAGTAACAGATTTATTGCTAAAGATCTCATCGTGGCAATGAATGATTAGGCTGTTTCATTACAAATAGTACTTTAAAGATGAGTTTGTTTCTCAACAACATTTAAGTATTGACAGCTTTTTTAAAGATTTATTTCTCAAGAAACTATAAACAATATAATACAAAAATAATACATAAGTTTTTCTTTCCTATAAAGAATCCAATAATATGGCTTTATGAAGAAGAATTTAACGTGAAAGTTTCAATTGTCATGCCAAAAAACAAGCAAACATACTACACCGGTAGTAAGGATAATAAATATTAACACCGATATTGAAATGAGAAAAACAAACCAAAATTTCCTTGTAAGTTTGCCGTGTTTCCTCCATGGTAAATCCCACAGATTATCGTTAAATCTTTTAGGTCCATTTCTTGTGTGAATAATTTCTTCATATTCCTCACCGTCATAAGCCTCATAAACTTTGTCACCATCATTAGACAACAACGTGAAGGGTATCTTGGCATCCTGTGAGCTCGATTGTTCAGGAGCAACGGCGCCCGAAGACGAAGAAAATGCCATTAGAATTGAATTTAGTGGTTGCCGTGTGGTTTTTGGATGGGGTCGTAAATCAAATCTGACGGCCTTTTGTGGTGGAAATTTTGGTTCCTGAACAGCTTTCAGTTTACCATTTTTTCCCGAGGCATCATCATTCAGAGACCACGTAATGTCATTATTGTCTTCTTGAAAATCTTGAAAATCTATCGCGTGATAGGGAGAGCTATGTATCAGTAATGGTGGTAAAACCGGTGGTTTCGAAGGTACCCTAGATAATTTATTTCTGGTTTCAGGCATCTTTACTCTTTCCCAAGAATTCACCAAACGACAAAGTTTCAAGTTTTTTTCTTTTTTAATGAATAACGTAAACAATAACATAAACGCCTAGAAGTATCACAATTTCCGTTAAATTTAGAAATATTACCTTTTCCGTTTGTTGTGTGAAACCGAGAAGGAATTGCTTAAAGAGTCATCCGTGTAGCATGTGGACTTGATACTCGAGAGATTTGGACGTAGTGGCAGATACAAGGTCACCCGCGACTTACCAAAAATGTAGACGCCAAGCTATTAATAAAACACAATGTTTCTTTCTATCAGTTGTCATGTACGATCTGCCTAATTCTGATCCAAGATCCGCCACATCGATTCTATTTTTAATTATAATAACCATATTCTTATTAATAGATTAGAAATTTCAATAATTTGAAAATGCATTTGTTTATGCTTTAAATGATTTTATTTTTTATTTCTATTGTAATAATAACATTATATTTAATAATGATAACATGTACCGTATGTGCTGTACATCTGTATGCATACTGTATAAACAAAAAAAAAGCTTTATCCGATTCGTTTAAACTTGTTATAAAATTTATTTCAATAAATAAATGATTGAAATTATGAGATTAAAAAAATTTATAAAATAATTATTTTTTTTTTCTGTCCGATAGGTTGTATCCGTTTACGGTATATTGATGATAGAACAATCGATTCTCGAATAATTTGAAAATTGATTTTTTTTATTTAATTTAATTTTTTTATTATTATTTTGAAATTTACAAAATCTAAACAAGATTTCCTGAAATTTTTTCATTTCATAAAGATCCAAAATATATATATTTTTTCAAATGATCACATCTCATACAGCATACATATTTTCAATGTTCTTAATAATAATAATAATAGTAATAATATATATAAACCGTCTTATATTAATAATATGGTAAACTTTATAAAACTATCTTAAGAAATTGAATTGTGAGAAAATAACGTCATTAAATGTAATCACTCATAGGTCGTGCGATGAAATTTTCTTCTCACGATTTTCTATATAAAAAGAAAGTTCTCGTGAAAAACTACGTTTCATCTCATAACAATGAACAAGTTAATATCTTATACGATCTTCCTTTTCTTCCTTTTAATTATCTTCACCGATTTTAACTTTGCCAATCCTGTTCCTAACGCGCTTCAATTAGTTTTCGAGGACGAACCCATCATTACGGATTCTTCTCCTGATTCCTATCCCACGCCTACTTCCACGTATACTTATCCCTATCAAACGTATACTTATCCCTATCAAACGACGACTACTATTACGCGTCGTCGTCCCTATCCCACGCGTCCTCGTCCCTATCCCACGCGTCCTTGGCCCTATCCCACGACTACTTCCACGTATACTTCGTATACTTCTACGTATGATTATCCCTATCCTACGTATACTTCTACGTATGATTATCCCTATCCTACACGTACCTCTTATCCCTATAATTCTCAAATAAGAGCAATAGCGTATTTTAATACACCGGACACGGCCACTGGATTGATTTTATTCTGGGAAACCAGTAGCGGAATAACCATCATCCACGGTCAATTTAGTAGAGGATTTAAGGACAGCGAAGAAGATATCAGTATTAAAATTTATCGTGACAATGAAGTGATATTTGATATTAAGCCCCGAGGTGAAAGTTTAGATAATCTTTTTAAGATTCGACCAAATGGGTCGACGGATTCTTTCGTATTTGTTGTCCCAAAAAGATTGATTAGAGAAGAACCCAAGATCATCGGAGCGTATTTAGTTATTGAGAGAAAGGATGATTTGATTGCCAAAGATCCTATCATCCTTTTGGAAGGTTACGTATAAGATACAGATGTTGGAATTCATTAAAGAGTGGGATTAATTTTCTGATGTTATTTCTTCCATCTTGTTAATTCTATCTTAAACAGAATAAAATTTACACCATTTATACGCGTGTCTTTTTCTGCTTGTTTCTGAAACGATCAATATCAATAATGACATGCTATTAATTTACTTTTTTTTTTCCTCTTTCTTTTCATATATAACAAGAAAATAATCCCAAATTTCTTTGTAAATTTTATTGCGCTCATCATTTCATAATAAATTTTTAGGCTTATATCTTGCGTATTGCATTTACCATTCTCTTCATCATTACCATTATAAAGATCTTTTATCGTAATTAGACAGGGTTCTGACAGTTCTCGGTGGAAAATGATATTAAGATCAAATCTCGTGATTGTTTTGGTTATGAATGCAGCTTCCTGTTATGGAAAATTTTTTCCTTAGGCATCATCTTCAGAAACCACAGTCATTATACATATTCACGAAAATCATGCATTGCGGGATAGGCAATAAAATTGATGATTTCAAAGATACTCCGGATAATTTATTTCTGGAATGTTTACTATTTCTTTCCCAAGATGACTTCTTTCTAAATGGCTAACATAAATAATGATATACACGCCCTAGATACGTGATGAGCAAAATTGCTTAAAGATCATTCGTGTAGCATTGGACCTTGACTCAATTTATGAAACCTCTCACGTACAAGATTGGTTACTGATCGGACCGGAAATTCCGATTAATTCCGATTAATTCCGGAGTTATCCGTTTTCTCGTAAACTGGTCCTATTCTATTTATGAGAAATTGTGTACGATCTAGAATCGTCTGGAAAAATCCGGGCTTAACAAGAATCCATCGGACCGATTAACATCCCTGGGTAATATTCCAAATAGTTCTTTGAATTGATTTGAAAAACAAATTGGTATACTCGAAACTAATCAAGTCTAGTCAATTTTCTTTGAAACTTTTCGAATCCGAATAGGTTTTGAAAATTTTTTAAAAAAAAAATAGCAATAAAATATATTATCTTTGACGCAGTCAAATATATACTATATTTTACATGTATTACTTTAATTTTTAATTATCAACAAACAAATAAGGCACAGCAGATTTCACGTGACTGATTATCGCTCGCAGTAAACACGACTCGATGGCAAAGAATAAAATAAATAAATAAATGGGTGTTTATTTGTATGGTTACAATACAATCATAAAAACTAAAGATAAACATTTCAGTATTTATTATGTATTCTATATAATAGTAAACAGAGTTACGGCCAAGAATTTTTGCTTTATTTGATAATGCAATAATCACGAATTTTTATTGGTTTGTAAAATATTGATGTCGAACGTGAATCAGTTTCGAGATTTGTCATGTTTCGAATATTTACATTTGTTTTATACCATGAACTTGCGGTTTTGTTTATTGCCGCTGTCGTCTCATTCGGAATATCCGCTAGACACTTAATTCTCCTAGCCTAATCTAATCCTGGTTCTTTATTACTACGTCTTTTGTATTACAAATGTATTCAACCACCAAAAACAAGCTGAAGGACAGCGCTATCTTTTTTGACCATTCTGTCTTTCTTTCTATTTATCTACCCCAGGTGTGTCATGCTCAAACGCGTAATACTCCTATCACATACTTACCCCTTATTTACTCACAACAATATAAATTTGCTATATTCATATATGGTATTAATTGCAAACGTGTTAGTTAAACCATACTATTTTTTGCTGGTTTCAGTTAAACGGTATTTGTTAGCTTGTTGGTCAAAGCTCACACAGGATCATTCAAAAAAGAACTTGAAATCAACGTACATCTCTTTAGATGCGTATATGTGAAACGAAGTTTTTATTGATTGTGAATGTTATAATGTACTTTATTCTATTTTCGAAGGTGCCTATATGGTATCCATATGGGGAGTGAATTTTTATACTTAAATTGAAAATCAATATGAATTCTCTTAATTCTATTATTTTATTTCTTGTTAATGTCACTTAACATAGCAATGTTCTTAGGTCCTTATTTTACATACGTTACTTTATTTTCTATTATATACTATTATCAAATGACTTGCCAGAAAAATGTGATTCTCAAATAATGTTAATATACATGTTTTAGTTTTTTAGTTTTTTTTTTTTTTTTTTTCTTTTTTTTTTTTTTTTTTGTTTTTTTTTTTTTTTTTTTTTTTTTTTTCTTTTCTCCTTCGTTTTTTTTTTTCGGTTTTGTTTTCTTTGGTTTTTTTTTTTCATTACCTCTTTGATTTTTTTTTTTCGGTTTTCGTTGTCTTTGGCTTTTTTTTTTCATT